CTCTTTCAGTGATTATAGTTAATGAACAGTAACACTTGTTCTTGATGACAAGGAAGAATTCTAAAAACCCATATCTGCTTTCAGAGGTAAATCCTGTGAAAAATCTTATACCTCCAGTGGCACAAATTACATCAGCCAAGAGTCTGCTCTGTTATGTCTTGAAGTAAGGTGATTTGAGCACCATACCCATCTTATGGTATAAGCTGGTATTTTCCCCACCTTGCATACAGAGGGTGGTATCCTTATCCCCACCTTGCATACAGAGGGTGGTTCCTTACTGAACTTCGTATAACGATATGCTATTGGGGAAAAAAACAATTAAATCTTTTAACTGAACTGTTGCAGGTATTTCTGTAAGCTTGTTCTGAAATACAATAGGTAACATGGAACTTTGTGAAAATATCAGTCAGAAATTCAAATAAAGCGTTCAAAGGGCAATGCCAGTATGTTGAGGGGGCCGAGCAGTCATGTTCTACTTTAGGTGTTTGGCCTAAAGTTGAGCGTCTGTTGCCTTGATAGAAAATATATTTTGAAGAAAGAAATGTTTGAGAAGATTCCTTTTTCTTACACACATAAGTATTTGCAGCTTCTGTCTAGTAATTTCTTACTGTTTTGCTCCTTTGGTGTCCCTTTATAGCAGTGCAGACTGACACTTGGTATTTGCACAGACACTCTCAGTGAGTTTGCATGGTGCACACACAGAACACGCGTGTAAGGGTGTTTTCTGTACACAGCAGATGCAGCAAATAATGTAAATCATTCACTGCTTGAAACTTGTACTGACTTCGTGGCCTGACAGCTTTCCTTTATGGGGAAAAAAAAAAAAATGAAACGCATATCCCAGAGCCGTTCTAATGTCAGCAGCGCTGACAAAGAAAAGTACTGTGCAAGTCAGACTATTAAAATCAGCAATGATGTATTCATTTTCATTCAAACCCAGGAAATGGGAAGGCAACTGGCAGAAATGAAATTCCTCTGAAAATGCTAAAACATGGATAATGTCCTAATCCCTTTGGAAGATGACAGTAAACTTCTATATCTTAGCAGAGAACATGGTGTGAATTTAGTTGTAAATTTTGGAAGAATTTATTTTTGCTGTAGGAAAACCACGTTATGCATAGAAGTGCAGATTAAAAACTCAATGGCTTTTGCTTGCATTATTTTCAGAATAATATTTTAAAGGCATTTTAAAACTAAAACTAAAACGTGTTAAATAATGTTTAAACATTTCCTGCAGAGTGGGAAAGGGAAGAATATGACAAAATGAAAAAAGAAAGCAGCTTTTTATTGGATAAAGAAGAGAAAACTAAGATGGAGACAGAAGTCCCCAAACCTGAAGTGATCAGAGAAAGCACTGAAATCCTGGAAGAGCAGCAAAAAAGAGAGCTTCTGCTTGCAAAACTGCAAGAAATTGATAGAGAAACTCAAAATGTAACAAACGTGAAACCTACTTTTGAAGCACCACTCATAAATACAACAAGAAAATCTGATTCCCTGGAGAAAAAAGAAAAAACAAATCAATTCTTTGAGATTCCCAGGAAGGTTACTAATGGATTCTCTGTAGGTGACAACCAGGCTGATGCGACAGGAGTACAAGGGCAGAAGCAACGAAATCTAAGGACTGCAGATTTAAGCAGTGAGTTAACATTTGGTAGTTATGTACCTTCCTTTGGGAAGGGATCAGGGAGACCGAGTTGGCTTACCCAAAAAAGTGACAACTTGGAAGAAAATGTTAAGGAAAATGCAGATTTCAATATTAAGAAAGATAAGAAGTCCAATTTAATGGAACAGCTCTTCGGAAGCAGTGCCACTATTCTTTCTAAAAATAACGATACAACAGCTTTTGACTTAGACTGGGACTCTAGTAATACTCCCCTTATTGATAAAAACAGTAAAGTCAAAGAAGACAGTGAGCTTTTTGGTGAAGGAAGAAACCTGAACAGACACCGTTTGCAGCACACTACAAGCAAGTCAGGATTTAAGACCCTTGGTTCTTTAGAAGATGAAATCGAAGAAGTAATCTTACAGTAATCATATTTTTACATGTTTCATAGATAAATACTGAAAAAATATTTTCGTGTACTATTTATTAGATGCAGATTTCAAACATTTCAGATCTATTGTAAAGCCTTATGAAGGAATAATTTACACAAATGAGTATATGTATAGAGGAAAGATGCACTTTGATAGAACAGCCTAACCTATATGCAAGAAATGTCTCCTAAAACATAGTATTCAAATACAGACCATGGAGATGTGGCAGGGACTCTTGTGGCAGAAAGACAGGGAAGGTGTCCTGAGGGACTTAGAGGAGATAGGTGCTGGCTGGCCGCCTCAGTCAGTCGGAGAAGGTACTCGTGCCCCAGCTGGGGCTCCAGAGCAACTGTCGCTGTTGCCATGTGGCGCTATCTGACCTGGGTAGCTGCGGCTCGGCGTACCAGAGGGTACTACAGAGCTGGTAGGGATGCCAAAGGGATGCTTCTCTCTCTCACCCTTTCCATTTGCTTGCTCTCACCCTCTCTCTCTTGCCATCGCTCTCTAAATTTTCAAGACTTGCCTATGTGTAACGGTACGTTCAGTAAAATTATACTTCTGAGAAGGGATTGTTCTTACTCACCGCAGAATGCGTTGGCCAAGATGGCGTCAAGCTTTCACGTGGCAGCCCTGGCATTCAGGGCAGCTGACAGATGAGCATCTCTGGCTAGCCAGCATAGGCAGTGTTGAGGTTTATTTTACCTGCAGGCTGCTCATGCTGCTTTTCATTTGGAGCACTTCTTTTAGGCCTCAGATATTTTCTTTCTCAGGCATTCGGACAGCCTCCTAACTGTGCTGGGAGAAGGCATGTGTAGCATCAGTGTCGTGAAATGGATAGAAGAGACACATCTAGCACGAAGGCTCAGGTAGAAAGAGAATATTCTACGCTGCGGTCATGTTATCTCAGAACATCAACAGAAACACAATTAACTCAGGAACAGCTGATCTCTCTTCTGCATAGGTTTTCTGTAGATCTTACTACCAAATTTGTCTGACTTGACTCATGAATTCAGGTTATTTATTATATAATGACATTTTTTGTAACTTCTGAATTTTCTATGTAACATTCCAATCACAACCAAGTAATTTTTTTAACAAAATGGTTTTATTAAATGTCTTGAGTAAAATTTTTGGGTGTAGAACATCTTTAACACAAAGTTCTGAGTTTTTATATCATGTTCTTGATACTGGGGGGAGGGAGGGCTGGTAGCATGGTTGCTAGTGACGTTATTCACTGCATGGTGCCATATACACAAATTAAGAAGGTAGGCAATGAAGGATTTAGCAGAGGCATTCCAGAAAATAAGCTGAAGGTCATTCCTTACTAGAACAACAGATTTTGAAATGCCTTTCTGATACGCTCCCTATGAGCCTGATTCAAAACATACTAAAATACAGAAAAGAATTCTCATCATTTCAAGACGCTTTGAGTCAAGATTTCTCTGAACACAATGGCTCTTCCAAAAAGAAAGGCTGGTGTCTACATCACGCAATAACTTTGTTTGCTCCCCCATTCAGAAAGAAAATCAGTCACAGATCCAGACCCAGTGTGTGGGACCGTTCTCGCCAGGCACCCTGTAGTGAGGAGCAACTCATGTTCACCTGCTTGCTTACAGTCCCAATTACACTGACTATAATATTACAGAATTCAGCTGGTTCATTTTGCTTGCAAATGGTCAGGAATATCAGGACAATTCTGACCAGCAACATTGAATTTAACTGTCTGCGTTACTATTCCCCAGTGACTTCTCGGGGGAAATACTGTGTTGTAAGAGGTCTGTGGGTCAAAACTGCAGGTATCTGTGAGTGAATGGTTGTTTGCCTTAACTTTCTTGTCCTAATTGTGAGTGACTGCTGCACTTCTAGAAGAAGGTGCTTTGGTCTTGAAGATACCGCTGGGGTGGGTGGTTTATTTTTCTTCCCTGTGGTTGAGGATTCTAAGGCATAAAGCAATGGTGTAGCTGCTGTGGTTATGGAGGATCGTGTAGTATATGGAGGGTCGTTTTTTGTTTCTTTGCAAGTCAACCCCTTAACATCTGGCAAATTCTAACGTGCTGAACGGACGTGCCCTGCTGTTTCAATTACATATGCATAGTTGCTAAGCTGCTCCATGTTACCAGCCCTCCTTAAGTTCACAAAACGTTCACATCCGTTTAGCAGACTCTGCCTGAAGCCAACGCTGCGGCGACTTGCACACACACACAAAAAAGATGTATCTGCATTAGGAAGGTGAAAAGAAATTCATCTGCTGGGAACAGTATCACAGGTATAGTTTCCCTTTTGCTCTCAGTGCTCCGTACAGTTTATTCTTTCTTCTTGCTGCACTTTCCAGTTTCAGAGTTGTGTGCAAATACCATTACAGTTAAAATGTATAAAGTCAGCGCTTTGAGAGGGAATATTCTGTTTGTGGGGGGAAACCTTCGGGTCTTTCTAAAATCTGTAAGCAGTGGTTTTGCTGTTGAGTAACAGTTTTCTACTGACCGGAAGCTACTTTACAAGGCCTTAAAAGGGTCTTCTGATATCCCAGTAATCCCAGCTACTGTGTCCAGACAGTCTGCATGTCGCTTTTAGTGGTGGCAGTGTTTAATAGCACTTGACTGACTGCAAAAGATGGATTCTTTTCTTTACTTTTCTACAGTAAAAAAGTAGGTCACAAATGCTTAGATGACGATTTGTGTATGATTTGATGTTTATGTCCAGTTGTACTTCCTGTTTGTTTGATGTTCAGATCATATAGCTGTTGCATCTGCTGTGTTTTGCTTTCCTTCTGAACCAGCAAAGGTGATGGGAGAAATCCCAACCAGAAAAGATCATTAAAGTTTGATTAAGTCTTCTAGGGAAACATTCGGGGCAGTTGTCACTGCCCTGGGAAAACTGATCTTCCAGTTCTGATCCCCAGGAGAGTGGTCACCAAGCCAAAGTATCTGAGGAGCATCTGGTGAAGGTGGTCAGGTGTCAGGACTCACCTGACAGAGGAAACAGCAAGTTTTAAGAACAAAAGTTTTTGAGAGAGGAGATGAATGGTGAAGGGTGGGGGAAGCGTAGTAGGTTTTTTGTAATCCAGGAGAACAGATGTAAGCTGTAGGAGGAGAACTTGAAGTGCCCTTCACAACTCTGAACCGAAGCCTGAAGTACTACAGCAGTAAGTGAACTGGGAAATGCTTAGATGCATTGAATGTTTTTCTCAGATCTGTGGTATCTTTGGACTAGCTAAAGAGCAAAAGGAAAAAAAAGCAGGTTTTCAGAACCCTGATAAATCCTGTTTCTGATTTTGCTTTGCCTACTGCACACACACCTGAAGAGGTGAGTTGTAAATGTATAATGCTTCCAAAACGGGGACGCTTGGAGAGGATGTGCTCGGGCTACTCGACAGCCTCAGGTTCATTGCTGGTCCTGAGACAGAAGATCTAACCCGGCTAGCCCAGAACCTACTTGCACTGTCAGATGTGAAAGAGTATCTGATCTGGCATGTTAGGAGTAGGAATTTGTTCAGGGAAACATCTTGGGGCAGAGGGTTACAGGAGCATCAGCAGGACTTTTGCTGATACTTCTGCTCTGGAGAGTGCTTTGGGTGAGCCTTTGCTATTCAAGAAAAATAGAAACAAATTCTGCATAGCAGTTTAAAGCAGGGACCAGCAAAAATCTATACGGCGGCAGCGAGTGCCTTCAGGATACTCATGCTGCCAGTTGCAGGAAGGGAGGTTTTCTTCCTGGGGTCGCATGGCTTCGCTAAGCCTGACCTACTCGTGTTCCGAGACGACAACTTTAAGCATAAGAGATGCCCGGGGTGACATTGCTCATTTATAAAATTCTCTTTTGTTGGATCAAATTTAACGTGGTCTCCTGTTTCGAATTATCTCTTTGATTAGCTGCAAAGTTTTGATGTCTGCAGGAGGAGAACAATTGCATCAGTGTGCACTGTCAGCCGGGCCTTGTGGCTGCTGAGGAGTTGCTAGGATACCTCTCTAAAAGGTACGATTCACTTGATTAACCACCAACCCGGTTTGCATGAGAAATATTTTTCCTGTCTTTGTTTTGTGCTGGCATCAACCGTGCATCAGATGTGCATGTGTGTTTAGAGCAGGCTACAGGTTGATTGTCATGCTTGCCTTTTGCCTGCTTTTGATATGTCAAAAAACCTCTCTGCTCCATAGAGAAGAATCCAGAACAATTATAGCAGAAACTCCAGTAAGCTGTAAGATGAGCACTGCTTCCAAAGGGGAACATCAACCACAGGATACCAAGGGAAAGTTTGACCTAGGTATAGGCCAGAAATACATATCCAAAGCCTTTACTTTCTATCTGTGAAGGTCAGAGGGGATTTTTCATCTCCTGTGTATTATTTTCTTTCCCTGCTCTGAGTGGGGCGTTGGACCAGATGACCCACCAAGGTCCCAGCCGAAGCTACTCTCTGTCTCTCATCCTTGCCACATCCCACTGGCATTAATGCTCCCTTCCAGCATTAATCCTTTGTACAAAGCTCCTTCATGCTACTCGCACAGAGTTGCCTCAGACACCTCCCGTGTGTCCATCTGTTCTCGAATATGACAGCATTGTATTCAAGGCACAAATCCTAACTCAACTTTCTCTCTCCACAATAGCTGCTTTGTGCATGCTCATCCTTCCAATACTATTTTTTTTTCTCCGTCTTCTTGTTTCCTGAAAGATTTTGTTCAAATTGTGTCTTCAGGATGTTTTGCTGTCATTTCCATGAATCTTCCCTTACTCCTCTTTCTTCTCTTTTCCTCTAACTTTCTTAAAATCCTTTTGCTCCTCCCACTGTTTTGTCCCCTAAGCACCACAGTTAACTTCTCCCTAAACTGCCCTTATCTCTTCTCTCCCATGGTTTCTTTATTCACTCTGGAGCTCCCTATGAGCCACGTTGTGCTGTGTTTCTTCTCACCCATGGGTGGAAGTAATGTTGCAAGAGGATAAGAAAGGCCTTGTAGGAAGGGGAGGTGATCTTGTCTTGAAACTGATTTTGCTTGTACTCCCAA